CGGCTGGAAAGGGGGGTTGCCGGGTGGCTGCTCATGAGCGTGGTCGGTTCATGGCTGTTGTATTGCACTGCTGCGACAGTGCAACACAGCGATTCGCCCATGAGGCTGTGCCCAGCTCTTTGGGAGCCCGCTTGCAAGAGAGCAGCCGCCCAGAAACCCCCCTCTTCAGCTGAGCAGTGCTGCTCACCAACCTAGCGGTATCCCAAAAGTGCCAAGCCGCGGGAACCGGGGGGGGGAGGAAAAGGGGGTTACGTTGCTTGGAGTCTTCAGGATACTGCTAGGTTGGTGAGCAGCACTGTGCCCAGCTGAAGAGGGGGGTTTCTGGGCGGCTGCTCTCTTGCAAGCGGGCTCCCAAAGAGCTGGGCACAGCCTCATGGGCGAATCGCTGTGTTGCACTGTCGCAGCAGTGCAATACAACAGCCATGAACCGACCACGCTCATGAGCAGCCACCCGGCAAACCCCCTTTCCAGCCGGGCACAGTGCCATTCACTGACCTGGGGGTGTCGCCAAGCGACGTGAGCGCCTGTTCACCTCCGCCCGGCTCCCGCAGCTTGGCTCCTTCGAAATGCCAGTGAAAGGCACTCTGCACGGCTGGAGAGGGGAGTTGCGCGAGCGGCTGTTCTGCTTCCACTCGTGCGCCTCCCAGCCTCACGATGCCTTGGCCCAGCTCTCCCCGCAGAGGCAAAGTACCTCTGCTGCTGCCGCCGCCACATACTTTTTCAGCAGCTTCCAAACAAAGTCTTCTGGCAGTAGCAGCTCTGGACGTACGCTCTATAGTTGTGGGCCAACTGCCGGCTGAGTGTAACAGCCGCTCGCGCAACCCCCCTCTCCAGCCGTGCAGAGTGTCTTTCACTGGCATTTCAAATGCACCAAGCCGCGGGAACTGGGCGGCGGCGAACAGGCGCTCACACAGCTTGGCGATACTACTAGGTCAGTGAATGACGCTGTGCCAGGCTGGAAAGCAGGTTTGCCGGGTGGCTGCTCGTGAGTGTGGTCGCTTCATGGCTGTTGTGTTGCGCTGCTGTGACAGCGCAACACAGCCATTCATCCATGAGGCTGTGCCCGGCTCTTTGGGAGCCCGCTCGGAAGAGAGCAGCTGCCCAGCAACCCCAAAACAATAAACCCCTCATAATAAGGCCCAAGCCATATTTTGTGGTTAAAAAGAAAATAAGACCCTGTCTTATTTTGGGGAAAACACGGTATCTATATTTATCTATATCTATCAGTGGTGGGTTCCGCATCCCGTTCCAACCGGTACATGGATGCACGCAGTGCACATGCGCACAGTACATGCATGCATCTTACTGTCCAGCGACACCTCCGCAAGCCGCTGTGATGCTCCAGCTGTTTGGCGGAGCATCACACAGGCATTGTATGCGCTGTGCGTGGAAGTGCCGAAGACTTTAAAGACAGGTAAGGAGCACGGGCGGGTGGGCCCTCTGGAGCACCATACTGGAATGGTACCCTGTGCTCCGGGCAGGCTCCAGTACACCCTGAAGTTGACTTGCTGAGAATTGTCAAAACCCATCTGAAAAAAGAGTTGAGTCAGATAACCAAGAGCAAGGATCCATTCCAGAAAATTCATAGCAGTGTGGNCGGCAAACCCCCTTTCCAGCCGGGCACAGTGCCATTCACTGACCTAGGGGTATCGCCAAGCGACATGAGCGCCTGTTTGCCGCCCAGCTTGGCTCCTTCAAAATGCCAGTGAAGGGCGCTCTGCACGACTGGAGAAGGGGGTTGCGCGAGCGACTTCCACTTCCGCTCGTGTGCCTCCCAGCCTCATGATGCCTTGGACCAGCTCTTCCCGCAGAGGCAGAGTACCTTTGCTGCTGCTGCCGCCGCATGCTTCTTCAGCAACTTCCAAACCAAGTCTTCTGGCAGTAGCAGCTCTGGACGTACGCTCTATAGTTGTGGGCCAGCTGCCGGCTGAGTGTAACAGCTGCTCGCGCAACCCCCATCTCCAGCCGTGCAGAGCGCCTTTCACTGGCATTTCAAATGCACCAAGCTGTGGGAACTGCGGCGGCGAACAGGCGCTCACGCGGCTTGGTGATATCCCTAGGTCAGTGAATGATGCTGTGCCAGGCTGGAAAGGGGGTTTGCCGGGTGGCTGCTCGTGAGTGTGGTCGCTTTGCCCGGCTCTTTGGGAGGCCGCTCGGAAGAGAGCAGCCACCCAGCAACCCCAAAACAATAAACCCCTCATAATAAGGCCCAAGCCATATTTTGTGGGTAAAAAGAAAATAAGACCCTGTCTTATTTTTGGGAAAACACGGTATCTATATTTATCTATCTATATCTATCAGTGGTGGGTTCCGCATCCCATTCCAACCGGTACATGGATGCACGCAGTGCGCATGCGCACAGTACATGCGTGCGTCTTACTGTCCAGCGACACCTCCGCAAGCCGCTGTGATGCTCCAGCTGTTTGGCGGAGCGTCACACAGGCACTGTATGCGCTGTGCATGGAAGTGCCGAAGACTTTAAAGACAGGTAAGGAGCATGGGCGGGTGGGCCCTCTGGAACACCATACTGGAATGGTACCCTGTGCTCTGGGCAGGCTCCGGTACATCCGTACCGGGGCGTACCGCTTGAAACCCACCACTGCTATCTATATGTATAAAATAAAATTTATATTTATGTATGTTCCAGCATAACTCTGGAGTGCCTCAAGCACTTTCAACCAAACCTGGTACACAGATAACTCACCTTCTGGAAACAAATACTGAAGGGTGAGGAGACACCCCTGGTGGGTGTGTCTGTGTATGTTCCACCATAACTCTGGAAAGCCTGGAGAGAGTGAGTGTGGCGTCCTAAGAGCGGCAATTGTTTGTGATGTCAGTTCCTTCGCAGCTTCCTCTGGAAAACAAGCCATGACGTTCACACTCCAGTGGACCAATGGAGAAGCACCTGATGGATTTGGGGCAAAGTGCCAGGATCATGAACAGGATGGGAAAGAGGAGCGCATGGGAGGGGGAAGAGAGAGGGCAGGGATGATGGGGATGGGTGTAGGGGGAGGAAAGGCCCCTCGCAATGGCTCCCTGTTAGATAAACACTTCGATAACTATAAATACCCACGCAACGCCAGGTTATCAGCTAGTGTTATTATATGCACCTCCATAGCCTTCAATGGAAAGTTCTTTTCCTTTTTGGATTTATTTGGCATCAACATGGCCTCATGTCTTTTCAAATACATGTGTCCAACTGAGCCAGTTCTTTTTTTCTCCATCCCCTGTGATACTTCTCTTTTTCTGCACTCCAGCCATTCCCTTTTGTGGCTGTTCCTCCTCTCAGGCTGTCTAGTTTGGGTAAGTTCTCCTTTCAGGCTGGCTTCACCTTGCAACATGTTTCACCTTGACTTCATGACATGTATTATTTCATTATTTGTTATTACAGCTGTTAACTACTATACCTTCTATAATATTTTAACTAATCACATTTTGGAATACAGGCACTTTGTTGATGCTATCTGAATGTTTGCACCTTTTAAGTGTGAAAAAGGATCTCATACACATTACAAGGGGGGGGGGGAGCCCAGTACATTTGTTGGTTGAACAAGTAACATGTACAAAAGTTATCCTGTCCCTTTTTCAACTTTAGTCAGAATGTGTTGTTGTTAGTTGCAAAGTTGTGTCCGAATCATTGTGACCCCATAGACAACATTCCTCCAGGCCTTCCTGTTCTCTACCATCCTCTGGAGTCCATTTAAGCTCACGCCGACTGCTTCAGTGATTCCATCCAGCCACCTCATTCTCTGTCGTCCCCTCCTTCTTTTGCCCTCAGTCATTCCCAGCATGAGGCTCTTATCCAGTGAGTCCTTCCTTCTCATTAGGTGGCCAAAGTATTTAAGTTTCCTCTTCAGGATCCGGCCTTCCAAAGAGCAGTCAGGGTTGATCTCCTCTAGGACTGACCGGTTTGATCCAAGGGACTCGCGGGAATCTTCTACAGCACCATAGTTCAAAGGCCTCAATTCTTTGGCGCTCAGCCTTTCTTATGGTTCAACTTTCACAGCCATATGTTTGCAACTGGGAAAACCATAGCCTTGACTAGATGCACTTTTGTTGGCAGAGTGATGTCTCTGCTTTTTAGTATGCTATCTAGATTTTACTGCTAAATATGTAACATCCTACATATACTGGTGCTTCTCAACTTACGACCACAATTGAGCCAAACATTTCTGTTGCTAAGTGAGACAAATGAGTTTTGCCCCATGTTATGGCCTTTCTTGCCACAGTTGTTGAGTGAATGACTGCAGTTGTTATATTGGTAACATGGTTGTCAAGTGAATCTGGCTTCCCCATTGACTTTGCTTCCCAGAAAGTTGCAAACAGTGATCACATGACAGTGACAATGTAACCGTGAAAAATGAGTCCGTTGCCAAGTGTCTGAAATTTGATCACATGATCTTGAGGATGCCGCAATGGTTGTAAGTGTGAAAAACAGTCATAGGTCACTTTTTTCAGTGCCTTTATAACTTCGGTCACTAAACAAACTGTTGTAAGTTGAGGACTACCTGTAGTTTGTTGAGTCATGGCTTTTGAGATAAGCAGAGCCAATTTTTACTCCATTTTTAGGTAAGCAGGAAGCAAGCTGACCAGTGGTGGGATTCAATTTTTTTTACTACTGGTTCTGTGGACGTGGCTTGGTGGGCATGGCAGGGGAAGGATACTGCAAAATCCCCATTCCCTCCCAATCAGCTGGGACTCGAAAGAGGATGGATGGGGGTGGGGCCAGCCAGAGGTTATATTTGCCGGTTCTCCGAATTACTCAAAATTTCCGCTAACGGTTCTCCAGAACTGGTCAGAACCTGCTGAATACCACCTCTGAAGCTGACTTGCTGAGAATTGTAAAACTCATCTGAAAAAAGAGTTGAGTCAGATAACCAAGAGCAAGAATCCATTCCAGAAAATTCATAGCAGTGTGGGGGGAAAATTTTCATCATGCAAGTANTTAAACTTGGTTGAGTAGCTAAGCAAAGAATGAAGTTCTGGGTCGATTAAAATAAAATCTGTGAGAACTGGCCAAAAGGAGTGAATCTAAGGATAAACTCTGAGTGCTTCTGGGTGGGAGAGATTAATTCACAGAAAAAAGAAAATGAGATGAGAAACCAAAATTTCTATTCCTGCATCACAGTATTTCTAGTCAGCATAAATGCCATTCAGCCATCCTGTATTATCCATAAAGTCCAGTCAAAAGAATATAATTTTGCTGTAAATAAGTCCTAGATGCATCCAGGGTCTGTGGTTCCTTGTTCTAGGTTAGCTAGGGAAATGATTTGTGTTGGAACTGGGAGGAAGGAGAGGAATCACAAAAGATAAAGGGACAATTTTCATAGAATTAGGGCAAGAGAAGGGCAGGCAGCTGTTTAGCAATTGACATCCGCAGACTTGTCTTGAAACTTCTCCTTGTGTCCCATTTTTAGGCCAGACCCCCAATCCAGCACAAGGGCCACACAAGGCCTCCCAAATGGGAAAGGCAACAGTCCCAACTTCCAGTCCGTGCAGCCATCTTGCCTCTGAGGAGATCACAGCGGGCACCCAATCAATAGCAGCAAAGAATGGGAAGTGACATCTGCCTTGGGATTATTCCATTTCCAGATAGGCCAGGCGGCTATTGCCCAGAAGTGAATCTCCTGCCTTGGATGGAAGAAGCCAGCAAGATGACGTTCAGTACAAAGGAAGTCAAAAAATATACTTTCCAAAAGTTCAACTTGCTACTTGAAGAACTTCAATGAGTTGGTGATCTTAATCTCAGGATAAAGTTGGCATCCTTGCTGTTCAAATCCCTTGGGTGTTTTATTTATATTTTATTTTTTATTTTTAACATGGCTGTTTTTGACATGTTAATTGTTTCATATATTTTTTTGCTGTACAATGCTGAAGTCGCTTCTGGTGAGATGAGCAGCCACACATAATTTAATAAATAAATATACAGTCTGTACAACTAGAGAGCAGAAGAGCAGCCTGCCCCAAAAAACTCTTGAAAGTTTCTTCAGTGTATCTTATTTGTGTTTCATTTGTTTGTTAAATGTATTTGTTGCCTATTTCACTGTGGGGCTATTCCACCATCGCTGGCTAAGAATGTGCCCCCTTTTCCACCTCTGTGACCAGAGGAATGCCTCTTTTCCAATACTGCTGGTTGCAACTTCGGTTTCTGCCACTCTTTAGCTAGGTGTATGTCGGATCTGAAGCACCGCTGATGTTCCGGTCAGAAGAACTTAGGGAAAAGGCAACAATGGAAAGAAAGTTTCAGTCTCATATCACTTTTGCGTACCAGATAAATACAGGAAACTGGAAATAAATTTGTTTTTAAAACACATGTATAGTACTTTCATTGTGCTTTCTAACAAGTTGGCTCAATTTATCTTTCTTTTCTGCTTGGGGGAAGTGCTAAAGCTAAAAGTGTATATACTTTGGTTTAAAAACTATGAGACTGTCAACCCTTCAAGGTCAGGAAACAACAAGTATTGGAATTCTACTTTTGTTGTCAGGTATAATAGCATTTGAACGTCTGCCAGTTTCCCTTTGCAGCCTCTTTTGCCATACAGAGCCAATGTGGGTTTACTCTGAGTTTCTTTTATTTCTCTCCCAAGGCTGAGGTGTTGCATACTTTTATCTGCTAAAGGTTTTTGTACTGTATTCCTTTGTCAATGTTATGTCTGCCATAGAAACTTGGAACAATGTTATTGACTTGAAATGGATAGATATGGATATCTAGGGAGACTTCTTTCTTTGGACAGGAAGCCAATGAATGAAATGCGATCGGCCAGGGTGTTGGGAGAAGTCAAGTCTGAATTTTGAAGTTTCTCAATTCCATCTTGGTTCTGTCCTCCTTTATTTACAGCACAGCATATAATCATCATCATTATCTTCTTCTTCTTTCTTTTTCATTTGTATGTATGTATGTANGAACGCCCACTAGTGGGCGGTAGGGACCAGGTTGACTACTACTGAGCTAAGTCAAGATTGCTAAAAGAGAAGCTGGGGAACCAGGAGTTTTAATCTTGATTTGGACATAGAAGCCAGCTGGGTGACTTTGGGCCAGTGACTCTCCTCCCTAGAACCCAGGTGGCTAGGGCAAACCATCTTCAAAAATCTCCCCATGAAAACTGCAGGCATCTGGTCAGCTTAAAGAAGGAAAATGACCAGCTGTCTCTGCAAGGAATATAAATCCTTCTATTCCCCACCATCCAGTCAGACCTGAAGAAGCTTCTTGGAAGAGAAGGAAAAATATCTTCAAAGAAAAAAACAAGAAAGTCCAGTTGCCTTGTGGGGAAAAAAAAGCACCTTTGGGTTCCTCAAAATGTGATTTATCCAAAAAACCACTACAGACAATTGATGAAAAGGATCTCTGCCATATATGGAAAACAACTCTGAAACTAGTACACTCCCAGGCACCACGATAGCCTATAGACCACAAGAATCTATCTAAAGGATCCCAAACAAACTCAAAAAAGCCAACAGCCCAAGAAAACCAAGTAAGTCTTATTTCTGTGCGGGGAGATAGACAGAAAAACACGTCCATGAAAACTGGGAGCCAGAACATATGAAGATTCCTTCGTTTTCAAACATACTAATACATTTTCATCGAGGAAGCTGTCGACATCTTACACCAAGCCAGGTCAAAAATCCCAGAGACTTCTTAGATCAGTGGTTCTCAACCTTCCTAATGCCGCGACCGTTTAATACAGTTCCTCATGTTGTGGTGACCCCCAACCATAAAGTTATTTTCACTGCTACTATGCAACCGTAATTTTGCTACTGTTATGAACCATAATGTAAATATCTGATAACAAGAAGAAACAAATGAAGTTGAAATGAGGGAACTTTGGTGCTCTCTTACCACCTACAAAGCCCTTCATGGTAGTGGATCTGGGTACTTGAGAGACCGCCTCCTGCCAATTACCTCCTCGAGACCCATTAGATCTCATAGATTGGGCCTCCTCCGAGTGTCATCCGCCAGCCAGTGCCGGCTGGCCACTACGCGGAGGAGAGCCTTTTCAGTAGCAGCTCCGACC